ATGACAATTGAATTCGTTCAGCGCGAATTGGAATTTTTTTTTTTTTTTTTTACAAATTAGATCTAGATTTAACATTCGTTCTAAAAAATGATACGCATAATTGAATTTAATATAATCGAATCAGGATTTATTATTCTCTCGATGGACACAAAACCCACATCTTCTCTCAAGAGTACTATCTAAAACAAACTATGCGAAAAGTTCAGCTACGTCGAGTTTGAATTTCTCTCTCTCCCTTTCTCTCTCTCCCTCTCTCTCTCTCTCTCTCTCTCTTTCTCTCTTTGTATGTCTCTAGTTCTAACTCCTAACCAAGTTGTACTCAGCATAAAACGCCAAGTGGCAAACGAGATACTTATGTTCACGTAAGTTGTTGTTGTTGTATGCATACGATAGAAAGAAAAATAAAAGGAAAAGAAAAAGAAAAAAAAAAAAAAAAAAAAATAGAAAAAAAAGAGAAAAAGAAATATTTTAAAGAATAATCATTTGGTGTATATTGACGAACGATGTAACACCGATGTTGTACTAAATGAAATAACGTGACCAGCATTTAATGTTTTCTAAATAAACGACGTATGCAACTTTTCTAACTGATCGAACGAACTCTCAAGTATATTCATTCCAAGGAATATTTTCAAAGCTAAAGAAGTAGCTAATAGAAAGCCACTAAATAAATATAAACTGAGAATTAGTTTGTCAAATAATTAATCCAAAGACGATCTCTCTCTCTCTCTCTCTCTCTCTCTCTCTCTCTCTCTTTAACATAAATAACTTTTAATACGAAAATGATGTATTACATTACAATGATGAAACTTAAAATACCGTAAATGAATGAAAAAATTTCTAACTGAAAGTCGATTACATTATTTCAACTTTTAAATATTTCAGCCTGATCCTGTAATAGATATTCAAAGATTTGTAAAAGAAAAGTTAAAGAAGAAAAAAAAAAGAAAAAAAAAAAAGAAAAGGACAAAAATCAAACCAAACCAAATCAAAGTATCTCACAAAAATTAGACTCAATTGATTACTTAAAATTGTCAATTGGACATATTATAATAAATTGTCCATTGTAGATTTTAAATAATCCATTGTAAATAGTAAATTGTAAAATAATCAATGGAATATTTAATAAAATTAAGAAAATTATTATCCGTACTATTTTACAATTGCGAAAATTTTCAAAACTATCGTACAAAGAATTAACGATCAAACGATACCATATCTATGTACATATACATATACATATATACATACATACATACATATGTACGATGTTGTAAATGACGTAGTACCTACCAGCTGGGATATAATACTTCTGACATGTTTCTATTAAAGCAACGCGTATATAAGGGTGAGAAGATTGAAAAGAAGGGAGGAAAAAGGAAGTAGCAAGATGAAAGAAGAAGAAGAAGAAGATGTTGGTTGAAGATACATATATATATATATATATATAGTGGTATTCGTTGATTGGTTAAAATGTATGCGTGTATTCTTACGAGAAAGAATACATCTCCCTACTTCTATCTTTTCACTTCTTCTTCCCTATTGATCCTCATCCCTTTACAATCCCCACCTCTTATATTTTTCCCATGTTGATGCATCTCGTTCGAATGCAATCGCATCGTTGCGGTTGCAACCACAGAGTCACAAACACACAAACACGAACGTACACACATATACACATATACGTATTACTGAATCATACTGAATCTCTCTGGAGTCCCTTCTTCTTCTTTTTCTTTCTCTTTCTCTCTCTCTCTCTCTCTCTCTTTTTCTCTCTCTCTCTCTTCACTCCCTTCTCTTTCATTCTAGCTATCTATCTATCTCATTTTCTCACACTCTCTCTCTCTCCCTCTCTCTTTCTCTTTTTCTATCTCTATCTCCTTCCTTTCCTACTATCTTCCTATTCACGATTCTTCACGCGTAAATATAAACGGCAAACGGTTATGTACATAAATCCATAAGGCTACGTTCGAAAGAGCATAGAAATAAACGGGACTCATCCTCTCGTTAATAATCTATAACTGTTCTATCCGCCCACATAGATAAACCATTCCTCATTCGTTCTCTGATTATTACTTAATTAATATATCTAATAAAATAAATGATACAATCGAGTTCCCTTCATCTATTCGCTCGTTCGTTCGTTCGCTCGTTCGTTAGTTCGTTCGTTCGATCGATCGATCCAAATTTTATCAACAAGATGTAACAATAAATAAAGAAATAAAAGAGAAAGAAAATAAGGAAAAATAAAGAGAGAGAGAGAGAGAGAGAGAGAGGGAAAAAAAGGAACTAAAAAATACTTAAACCGCACAAGCAAGAAAAAAACGAACGAACGAATGAACAAAAAAACAAACAAGCAAAAAAAAAAATAAATAAATTAATAGACATTTCAAATTTAATATTACTTATATTCATTTTTACGACGATTACGATGCCAATTGATCCAAATAAATGGATTTTGCAAAGAAAACAAAACGATTTGCGTTTATTTTATCTGAAATTTGCACAGTGAAAGGAGAAATAAGAGTGCAGTGGAGAAGAAAAGAAAACGACACGGGGGAAAGATAAGGAAATAAAAAGGAAAAAAAAAGAAGAAGAAAAGGAGGAAAAAAAAAAAGGAAAATGAGAGAAAAAGAAAACGAAAAGGAAAAAAAGAATGAAAGAGATGTGATAACGTGTCTCGGCTTAGAGGTGAAGCCTGAGAAAAGAATTTCTGCTTCGTGAAATGTCGTGCTGATTTAGCCTCTCTCTCTCTCTCTCTCTCTCTCACACACACACACACACACACACACAGACACCTATACGCTTCGTATCTTTAATATAAATCGTCGTTGTTACACGCGTGTCCGGAGCGTGTCGGTCGTACGCGCGCGTGCTTATCCAAGTAAAAGGCAAATACGACACCCTTTTCCTCTCCCACCCTTAACACTCCACATACACACATACACATACAAGCACACAAAAAACAGATATATATATATATATGTATACACACATGCAGACACAAATATACTCATAGAGCCCTACGGCGAGGTGTTTTTCAACGTAACGAGTCGACACTAACGACGACGTCGTGCTAGCCTCTAGTCAGGTAAGTATCGATATCTTCGACTCGATTGTTTTATATTTTCAATCTTCTCACATAGCCACGAGAAAAAGAAAAAGAAAAAGAGAGAGAGAGAGAGAGAGAGAGAGAGAAAGAGAGATGAAGAATCGTTTCTATGCTTTTTATATTTCATCATAGATATCCCATTGATTCCACGATAAGATATATCACGAATATAGAAAATCATACACTTTAATTAATTTATATAATAAATTAATCGTTTTGTCAATCAATGATATGATGACATTTATATATATATATATATATATATATATATATATATATATAGATTTAATAAAGAGACTTCAATAGATATTGAAACATTGAATTTATAAATGCATACCGTTCATCGGATCGTAATAATGATAATATAATATATTATATTATATTATACGTAACTAAGATTATAATATGCTCGAGAGAATTTTAATTCGATAAAAGAAAAAAAAAATAAATAAACAAATGAAGAAAATAAATAAAAAGAAAAATAGAGAGAGAGAGAGAGAGAGAGAGAGAGAGGAAAAAAAGAAAAAAAGAAAAAAAGAAAAGAAAAAGAATGACGACGATCATTTATAAAAATTTTCGTTTCTAAGGGATGACGGAAAAGAAGAAAAAAAGAAAAAAAAAAAAGAAAAAAAAAAAGAAAAAGAAAAAAAATTGAGAGGTAGGAACGCAATTGAAGAAATCGTCTGGAATGACGGCGAGAAGTCGCGACTTTTAACTATTACAGGAGAAAAGAATCGTGAATGGTCGGACAACATTGGTGGGACAAAAGAGAGTGACTCGTTAACGGATACTGGAGTAGGAAAAGGGTTGTTGTTTAAAAACAGCCATTTCTTCTTCCCCATCTCTTCCTTTCCTCCTATCTCAACCACGCATCACTCTACTCTTCAGTAGCCTTTCAACGCTAGAAAGAGAAAGATAGAGACGAGAGAGAGAGAGACAGAGCATTTACACTCTTCTCTCTCCCTCTCTCCCTCTCTCCCTTTCTCTCTCTCTCTCTCTCTCTCTCTCTCTCTCTCTCTCTCTCTCTCTCTCTCTCTCTCTCTCTCTCTCTCTCTGTTATTCCCGATCTCGAGATATTAATGGCGAGCTGCGATGCAGCGCCATAAATATAACTCCGATACGCTTGTAAGGGCAAGAGTTATTTTCGCGGTCGAGAATACAGACGTCCTTTCTCTCACGAAAAAGAAAGAAAATAATAATAATAATAATAAAAAAACAAAAAAAAAAAAAAAAAAAGATATGGAAAAAAAAATAAAAAAGAAAAAAGAAAAGAGAGAGAGAGAGAGAGAGAGATCGAGGCGAACAAAGAAAAATTGGGGAGGCATGGTGGAAGAAAAAAGAAAAGAAAAAATGAAAAAAAAAAAAAAGAAAAAAAGTAATACTTAGAAAAGAGAAAAATTCATTTTTACGAGATATCGCCAATATCACTTATTTCTCATATTAACGAGAAATCATCATACGTTTCTTCGTTTTCATTCAAAGAAACAATCAATCTTGACGAAATTTAATGATACAAATGTGATTTGTCAGAGAATAAAATGCATTTTTATTCCTTTCCCGTCAACTATAATGCACAGATTAAATTGATTTCATTATGTCGATTGATAATAATAATAAAAATTCCTTTATATAAAATACTTAATATCCGATATCCATTGACATATATACATATTTATAAAAACAAAAAAAAAAAGAAAAAAAAAAAAAATCTCTTTCAGTTTCATTCATAGATACGTTTCGAATGAAACCAAGACGAAGTTTTATATATAAATATATGTATATATACACATACAATTGGATAAAATATTAGTATCGTAAAGGAGTTCTGGGTAAACGTAAAAAAAAAAAAAAAGAAAAAAAAGGAAAAAAGAAAAGAAAAAGTACTCACCATCTCGTCGAGACTCTTGAGATCGTTAGTAACGATCTGTGGCTGGGGACCGTAAATGAGGCAAGGTTCTTCCTGATGCATGTCGGCATATTCGTCGTCGTCGCTGTCCTCGTTCGAATTACCATTGGTTTGCGTACCGTTGGCAGCTTTGTTTTCAGCAGCGATCTCACGATCGATCTGTCTTTCCATTTGGACCAACATCGGCGCGAGCATACCAAATTTTGCACCGCGCCTCGCCACCTCGAGCATGCAGAGTATCACGTGCCTCTCGTTCTTCCGCATTATCAGATCGTCGGTCTCGAAGAGAAGACATTCGATGATACCAAGACTGTTACGGCACCAACCAATGAAATTTGAGACGTTGTCACGGGCAAAAAAGGTTCCAGCTTTTGCATTTGGTAAAAAGGCTACGTCGCTCAATTGGGACATAGGTAAAGCCAATGACGACGTTATCGAACGCGTCATCGAAATTTTTCGTGCTTGTCTACGTGCCACGTATTCAGCTGCTGATTTCCTTACGTTGTTTGCGTGCTGAAAAAAGAAAGCAAAAAGAAGAAAAAAAAAAAAGAAAAAAAGAAAAAAAAGAAAAAAGAAAAAGATTATATATAGAAATAAATAAATCGAACGTAAACAAATTTTCATTGTAATTTCTCGTTCTTTTATATATTCGTACATATTGGAATCATTTCAAATATTTTCTACGATTAATTATGCAGCAAGATTTTTCTTTTTTCCCCTCCCTTTTTTTTTTTTTTTTAAGGGGCTTAAACTTCAAACGATTTATGAATTAGCGTGCAGCCCAACCGATGAAATATCACGCACGAGTAATTCTCGTATTATTTTCTTTTTCTTTTTTTTTTTCTTTTTTTTTTTTTCTTTATTTTTATTTCGCTTTTTATTTTTTTCTACTCTCAACCCTTACAAAGTAAAGGAAGAAAGTTTTTCGTCCGTGAAATCGGCTTTCAAACGAGAGACAAAAAGAGAGAAAGAGAGAGACAAATATATATATATATATATATATATATATATATATGTACATATAGCGAGAGGGAGGAGGCCATCAGGAACGACGCGAAATTAATTCGCATCCAACCGAGATAATGGGATTCCGGCGCGTTTTATTGACATCTGTGGAGGATGCATCGACATGACGAGGAGAAGGAGAGAGGGATAGAGAGAAAAAAAAAGAAAAGCGTGAAAGAATGACGCCGACGCGTCAAAGTTTTTTCGTGAATGAATAAATAAGAAAAAATAAAAAAAAAAAAAAAAAAAAAAAAAACAAAAAAATAAACAATGACGTAGACGTGTAAAGTGCAAGGTCGAGATTTCTTGTTTTTTCTTTTTTTTTTTCTTTTGTCTTTTTTATTTTTTATTTTTTTTGTTAGGATCGATCGATTAGTCGACGTCGACGACGAATACGAGCGAACAAACAAACAAACAAACAAACAAAAACAAATAATCGTACTAGAATTATATAAGCGTCGCGTATATTATTTTTTTTTTTCCTTTGTCTCTTTTATTTACAAAACGAACGACGAAATAGTTCTTAGACTTATTTTAAAAGATCAATTATTCTTTCCTTTTGAAGAATTTCTTTTAAACTTGCGCGTAACGCTTAAGGCTTGTTTGTTGTTTGACAATTTGAGGACAAAAAAAAAAAAAAAAAAAAAAAAAAAAGAAAAAGAAAAAGAAAAAGAAAAAAAAAAAAAAAAAAAGCTCGCTCAAAAAGTCTCTCTCAAGAGTATAATTTGTAATTATCTGTATAATCGTATGTGGAAGAACGCTTGAACATTTTTCATTTCTTCTTTCCCTCTTTTTTTTTTTTTTCTTTTTTTTACCCCGAATCATTCTTCATAATCAATCGCAAAGCTTCGAATCGTTCTCGTTAACATCGTCTATATTAGAAATTGATCGGTCTAATCGAAGAGAATCGAACGGTGAATTTTTTTTTTTTTTTTTTTTTTTTTTTCAATGATCTGATTGACCGACTGACGTACAGAGACGAATAAGACGATGGACGGGATGCAATGTGGAAATGGTAGGTGGGGTGGTAACGAAGAAAACGAACGTAAAGCAGTTATTAAACGTGACGCGGGACACGAATCATTACTATTACATTACTATTACTAATAAGTTTTACCTGGTCATAATTTTACCGCTAGAAATAATATTGCATTTTAATTTTATTATCGTTTTAGAATTGGACACTGTTGTAGGATTTAGTTAAACGACAGAGCTACGAGACTAAGCTACGATTAGATACCTGACTGTTCTTCGTAATTTACGTATCTAATAAGAATAAAAATTTACAGGATTCGCGATGGATACGCGACGGTAACGCATTTTTAATACATGCCGTTAATAAGCAAATCGCGGCCCGTTTACGGTTCGACGTATCGTGACTAATGAAGCACGCATTTCTTCTGCACGCGGCCCGAATAAAATTATATTCAACGTATGCACGTACATATATATATATATATATATATATATATATATATATAATCTCCGAGTGCGCGTGAATGCTCATCCGTATATAAGTGTGTGTATGTGTGAGAGTTGCTAACACGAACGTCGATCGGATTTAAAATGGAAAAATTTATTTTTATTAAAAAAATTCTTTACTTCTTTTGTTAATTCTAATCGATACGTTCTCCCTATTATATTTATTTCCATACGTATAATTTTAAAGCGACTAATTCTAATGACATTTGAAATTAAACTTCTAATATCGATAATAAAATATATCTATACGATTGTATGAAATAGATTTTAAAAGAATTGTCGATTAAACGAACAAAACGGATGGACGGGAATCGATTGTAAAAATTTATAATATTTTATTACAAAAGTTTCCATCACTCATTTCTTCTCTCTCTCTTTTTTTTTTTTTCTTTTTTTTTCATTTTTCTTTTTCTTTTTACTAAAATTCTATTCAATATCTTTCATACGAGTATTAGATTATATTAGAATGAACGATCTAACGTTACGTATTACGAAAATAAATTGAAATAAAATGGGGAAAAAAAAGAGAGAGAAAAAAGAAAATAGAAAAATAAAGAGAGTAAGAGAGAGAGAGAGAGAAAGAAAGAGAGAGAGAGAGAGGTAAAAAAGAAAAGAAAAGAAAAGAAAAGAAAATAGAAATTCAATGCTACGAATAATTTCTACGTCCTCTCGTTGCGTTGGTTTCTAACGAGCTTGCGCTTAGAAAATCGCTCGTCGTTGGTAATTAATTATTAAAACGGCAATGCCGGAGACAGCTCGTTCTCTGTCTTTTCATTCGCGTGTTCCGACAACGACGACGGCCGACGAAGCTGTAAGAAAAAGAGAGAGTGAGAGAAAGAGAGAGAGAGAGAGAGAGAGAGAGAGAGAGAGAGAGAGAGAGAGAGAGAGGTGCAAAAAAGAAGAAAAAAGAAGAAAAATAGAGGAAAGAAAAGGAGGAAAGAGGAGGAGGGAAAGAGGAGGTGGGAAAGAGGAGAGCAACGATCCAACTTGGAGGGTTCCAACTTCTTCGTAAAACCTTTCACCAAGCACGCATGCACGCACGCACGCATTCACGCACGCACACACGAAAGAAATTCTCTCTTTCTCTCTTTTTTCTTTCAAGCATTGGCTACTAACAACAACATGCGCGTAACACGACACACGCATACACAACGCGCGAGACGTGAATCTTCGATCAATCGTTTCGTTTTATTCTCACTCACAATACTTCATTTATTATTGTTATTATTATTATTAATATTATTATTATTATTATTATTATTATTATTATTATTATTAATATATATCTTTCCATCCTTTTTCACAGTTCATTTTAATTGTTCCTCCCTATTTTGGGGCTTGCTCCATTAAAATATGTATGTATAATCACAAAAAAGAAAAAAAAAAAGAAGGAAAAATTGTTCTCTCTCTCTCTCTCTCTCTTTCTCTTTCTCTTTCTCTCTCCTCTTTCGTCCTTGTCACTTTTTGAAACTTAATCAAAAACGATCGAGACTAATTAGTGATTTAATCGAGTACACGAATCCCTCTCGGCACACACACACTCGTACACGCACGCACGCACATATATGTACACACATAAAGAAAGGGAGAGAGACGTGATATTGAATTTTATTATCGAAGGACGAAATCTCTCGATCGTATATGCCATTCGATATCACCGATTGCAAGTCGGTGTGCTTTGATCCTCTCCTCGTAACCTTTAACCGTAAGAATATTATTCATATATATGCTTACGTATTTATATATATATATATATATATATATATATATATATATCCATTATACGTTTACTCGTACGAGATCCACACGTTTAACGACGAAAGACGATGATCGAAATAAATGATCGATTGATGAACTCTCGCTATGCAACCTCATATGCAAATTAATTTATTATCATCCAATGAGTGAACTCTTGGATTAATCGAAGCAACGATTCGAACGTGTTAAAACTTTTATTATATTTTCAATAATTGACTCCAATTAATTATACATTATCGCGATATATAATAACGATTGGTTTCAATCATTTTTAATATAAATATTACCGTATCTTAAAGTATGAGAGTTAAAGTAATTAATTAATTAATTTATTTATTTTGATTTTCTTTATAAATAAAAATTTTATCAAATCCTATTTATTTCATTATTTAAACGTTCGTGATTGGAGATTTCAATGTTCGTATTTATATATATTAAATCCTTGAAAATTCGTCGGACATCGATCGTCCTGTATTTGTTATTCGAAACGCGCACGCTCGAAACATTTCGCAAAGGCGAAGCTACCGTACGTGGGATCGGGCAAAGCCGAATATTTCAAAGATTCCAATAACATCTCGGCGCCCTGATCGAGCCAGGAATGCAAGTACGTGGGCCACGAGGCGAACGGAGACCGTAGAACGGGGAGTGCAATATAGTCAACTCGCGTGCCAGTCTTCGAATGTAAGCAAAGTTCAAACAAACGCGCGTTTGCTTCTGCGCGATACATACATATAGATAACACTATCATATATCATTTCTATATTTCTATCTAATTATTTCACGAAAGAAATTTATTTTTACATTTTATTATAATATCTCTTTTGTAATTTTTATCGTATATTAAAAATTTCAATATCTTTCTTTATGTCTCTCTCTTTTTCTCTCTTTCTCTCTCTCTCTCTCTCTCTCTCTCTCTCTCTCTCTCTCTACGCTAAAATATCATTAATTTTTATCTCCATAAATTATCAAATCACAAATTTGGAAAAATTCAAATACACACCATAAATAAATACATGAAATATTATATAATTTTTCTTTCACACATATTTAAAAATCAATGCAGTAACAAATTTTAATCGACAATTGTTCATCAAGAAATATCATAAATTTCTTTTGCGTTAAAGTTTTTCAAAGTTTTTTCTATCTTTCTTTCTTCCTACAATCATTCTCGTGCAAAATTAAATACAAATTTATTCGAAATGAACGAGAGATTACGCCGTGAAAGAATTTTATCAATCGTCAATTTATTATCTCTCAGATTTTATCAT